CCTGTGTTCCATATCTGCATCCTAAATCTTCCATCCTGTATCTACATCTGAAATCCCAAGTCTCCACATACCTCCTAAAAGCTCTATCCCATATCTACATCCTCAGTCTTCTATCCCACAATTGCATCCTGGATCCTCCATCCTGTGTCTTGCATCTTCATCCTCAATCCTATGTCCCATATCTGCATCCCAAGTTGTCTTAGGATCTGTCCCAGATCCTGTGTCTATGTCCCAAATCCTGTGTCCTACATCTACATCCTGAATCTCGTGTTCCATATCTGCATCCTGAAACCTGCACCTGTGTCCTAAATCCTCTGACACCATCTACATCCTAAATCCTCTGCTGCATCCCATGTCTAAATCCTAAATATTCTATTCTGCATCCTCAATCTACATCCTAAATTCTGCATCCACAGCCTAAATCCTGAGTCCCATATCTGCATCATAAATTCTGTTTCACATCCTGAACCTACACCCTAAACCTCCGTTCTAAATCCTACGTCCTACATTTGAATCCCAAATTCTGTCCCACAACCAACACCTAGATCCTAAATCTTCAATCCCCCATTCTCCATCTGTGCCCTGAATCCTCAATCCCATGTCTAAATCCTAAATACTCTATCCTGCATCCTGAATCTACATCCTAAATTCTGCATCCATAGCCTAAATCCTAAGTCCCATATCTGCATCCCAAATTCTGTTCCACCAACACCTAGACCCTAAATCCTCCATCCCCCATTTTTCATCCATGTCCCAAATCCTGAATCCCATGTCTAAATCCTAAACACTCTATCCTGGATCCTGGATCTACATCCTAAATCCTGACTCCCATATCTGCATTGCAAATTCTCTTTCACATCCTGCATCTACACCCTAAACCTCCATTCTAAATCCTACGTCCCACATTTGAATCCTAAATTCTGTCCCACAACCAACACCTAGATCCTAAATCCTCTATCCCCCATTCTCCATCTGTGCCCTAAATCCTCAATCCCATGACTAAATCCTAAATACTCTATCCTGCATCCTAAATCTACATCCTAAATCCTGAGTCCCATATCTTCATCATAAATTCCATTTCACATCCTGCATCTACACCCTAAAACTCCATCCCAAATCCTATGTCCCACATTTGAATCCCAAATTCTGTCCCACAACCAACACCTAGATCCTAAATCCTCCATCCCCCATTTTCCATCTGTGTCCCAAATCCTGAATCCCACATGTAAATCCTAAATACTCTACCCTGCATCCTGGATTTACATCCTAAACCCTGCATGCACAGCCTAAATCCTAAGTCCATATCTGCATCACAAATTCCGTTTCACATCCTGCATCTACACCCTAAACCTCCATTCTAAATTTTACCTAATTCTAAATCCCAAATTCTGTCCCCCAACCAACACCTAGATCCTAAATCCTCTATCCCCCATTCTCCGTGTCCTAAATCCTGCACACCACGTCTAAATCCTAAATATTCTATCCTGCATCCACAGCCTAAATCCTAAATCCCATATCTGCATCACAAATTCTGTTTCACATCCTGCACCTATATCCTAAACCCTCTATCCTGTGTTGACATCCCAATTCCTATGTCCCACATTTGAATCCCAAATTCTGTCCCACAGCCAACACCTAGATCCTAAATCCTCCATCTCCCATTCTCCATCTGTGTTCCAAATCCTGCACACCATGTCTAAATCCTAAATATTCTATTCTGCATCCTCAATCTACATCCTAAATTCTGCATCCACAGCCTAAATCCTAAGTCCATATCTGCATCATAAACTCTGTTTCACATCCTGAACCTACACCCTAAACCTCCGTTCTAAATCTTACCTAATTCTAAATCCCAAATTCTGTTCCACAACCAACACCTAGATCCTAAATCCTCTATCTCCCATTCTCCATCTGTGCCCTAAATCCTCAATCCCATGACTAAATCCTAAATACTCTATCCTGCATCCTAAATCTACATCCTAAATCCTGAGTTCCATATCTTCATCATAAATTCCATTTCACATCCTGCATCTACACCCTAAAACTCCATCCCAAATCCTATGTCCCACATTTGAATCCCAAATTCTGTCCCACAACCAACACCTAGATCCTAAATCCTCCATCCCCCATTTTCCATCTGTGTCCCAAATCCTGAATCCCACATGTAAATCCTAAATACTCTACCCTGCATCCTGGATTTACATCCTAAACCCTGCATGCACAGCCTAAATCCTAAGTCCATTTCTGCATCACAAATTCCGTTTCACATCCTGCATCTACACCCTAAACCTCCATTCTAAATCTTACCTAATTCTAAATCCCAAATTCTGTCCCCCAACCAACACCTAGATCCTAAATCCTCTATCCCCCATTCTCCGTGTCCTAAATCCTGCACACCACGTCTAAATCCTAAATATTCTATCCTGCATCCACAGCCTAAATCCTAAATCCCATATCTGCATCACAAATTCTGTTTCACATCCTGCACCTATATCCTAAACCCTCTATCCTGTGTTGACATCCCAATTCCTATGTCCCACATTTGAATCCCAAATTCTGTCCCACAGCCAACACCTAGATCCTAAATCCTCCATCTCCCATTCTCCATCTGTGTTCCAAATCCTGCACACCATGTCTAAATCCTAAATATTCTATTCTGTATCCTCAATCTACATCCTAAATTCTGCATCCACAGCCTAAATCCTAAGTCCATATCTGCATCATAAATTCTGTTTCACATCCTGAACCTACACCCTAAACCTCCGTTCTAAATCTTACCTAATTCTAAATCCCAAATTCTGTTCCACAACCAACACCTAGATCCTAAATCCTCTATCTCCCATTCTCCATCTGTGCCCTAAATCCTCAATCCCGTGTCTAAATCCTAAATACTCTATCCTGCATCCTAAATCTACATCCTAAATCCTGAGTCCCATATCTTCATCATAGATTCCATTTCACATCCTGCACCTACACCCTAAACCTCCATCCCAAATCCTATGTCCCACATTAGCATTTCAAATTCTGTCCCACAACCAACACCTAGATCCTAAATCCTCTATCTCCCATTCTCCATCTGTGCCCTAAATCCTAAATACTCTATCCTGCATCCTGAATCTACATCCTAAACCCTGCATCCACAGCCTAAATCCTAAGTCCCATGTCTGCATCATAAATTCTGTTTCACATCCTGCACCTACACCCTAAATCCTTCATCCTGTGTTTACATCCCAAATCCTACGTCCCACAAGCAACACCTAGATCCTAAATCCTCCATCCCCCATTCTCCATTTGTGCCCTAAATCCTAAATATTCTATCCTGCATCCTGAATCTACATCCTAAACCCTGCATCCACAGCCTAAGTCCCATATCTGCATCATAAATTCTGTTTCACGTCCTGCACCTACACCCTAAACCTCCATCCCAAATCCTATGTCCCGCATTTGCATCTCAAATTCTGTCCCACAACCAACGCCTAGATCCTAAATCCTCCATCCTCCATGTCCTAAATCCTCCATCCTCCATGTCTTAAATCCTAAATTCCCATCCCTGAACCCTGAACCCTCCATCTTGCATCCAGCACCGCATCCCCAACTCCGCATCCCCAACTCCGCATCCCCAACTCCGCTCCCAGGATGCTGCCAGGAGCTGGGGGCTGGCAGAACCCGCTGTGCCCGCTGGAGAGCCATGAATTTGGGATGAGGAGGGGGCAGCAGCCCCCAGCCTGCCCCGGCCGTGCTGTTGGTTTTGGGATTTGCCACGCTCCGGTGCCTCCGAGCGCGCCGGGTCCCCGGCGGGGCCGCACAAAGGGCGCTTTCAGCACAGCCCCCCCCGCCCGGCCACAGAGCAACACAAACCTTTCATCCCCCTCGAGTTTCCCCCACAGACCCCAGAAGAGGAAAATAATCCTCTCCACGGAGTTAAAAAACCAAAAGGAGCCTAAAAATTGGGGTTGAAAATGATTCCCATGGGAATGGAACTTGGTTAATGCACGAGACCGTGGTGGAGCAGAGGCAGTGTCCAGCCTCCCCTGAAGCAACCTGGGGAAGAGGGGACATGTCCATGATCCCCCCAAATACCCCACGACCCCCCAAAATATCCCATTTACAGCAGGTAACAGGTGAAAAATTAATTTGTTTTGACAGCAAGACCCACCCGTGCAACGAGTTGTGTCCAGCCTCATACCCCTCCACAACCCTCCCTTCCCGAGGCATTCCCAAAGATTTTCTTTTTCATGCCCTTAGAAATATAAATTCCTGGGGGGAATGAACCAGAAAACCCTGTATTCAGCCTAATTATCCCCCCTGGCCGCAATCTGTGATCTCTGGGACAATTAAAAGTGCTTAATCCCAGCTGAAAAGCAAACAAGGTCGGAGCGCGGCGTCTTCCTGCCTTCCCCTCGCCCGCTGCCGGGGTCTCGCTCCCCAGCTGCAATATAAATATGCAATTAAAAAATCGCCGCTAATTGCTTCGCCCAAGGGGGGTTCCCACCAGGGAAACAAAAAGGCTGGGCAAAAGGATATTTAAAAAATAATAATTTAAGAAGGGGTAAACAAGTAAAAAAATGCTTTTTTTTTTTTAGCCCAATAATTAAACACTGCTGCAGCTTTAAGGAGGAATTGTGGTGATGTCTCAGGGTTTGCACCTTGGGGTGGGTTTTTTTGGGGGGATGCTCTTTTTTGGGGGGGATGGGGTTAATCCCTGGCTCTCCTCTCTCGCTCCAGCGCTAACAACCCCTGGCAGCTCTCGGGCTCGTTAGTCCTTCCCAAAAGCAATTAGAGAGGCTGGAAAATGAGGGCAGCCACTGCCCTGAGACAGGGCAGGAATGGGGGGCGGGGGGGTCAGCCCCCAGCCCCTGGGGCGGGTTTAGGGCTCGGCACAGATCCCGCAGTGGGATTTACTCTGGCCGAGCAAAGCTGCGCCATCAGCAGGCTTCAGAGTGAACAACCCCGTGCAGCTCCCCCTGGCAGCAACCAGCCTCACCTCGTGTCCCCCAGGGCTTTATTGAACCTTCAAAACCTAAAACAGGTGGCCAGACACCTTCACAGTATTTGCGTGCTGCTGCCAGAGCGCAGCCAGGAGGAAGAGGAGGAGGAGGAGGTGGAGGAAGAGAAGGAAGAGGCAGAGAAGGCGTGTGCGGGCTCAGGTGCCAGGCAGCCAGACCTTCTGGGTGCTGACAATGTCGCTGAGCTTGGCCTTGATCTTCAGGAAATGCCTCTTGAACTCCAGGCCATCGCCCTGCGTGGGGAGAGACAGGGGCTGACACCCCCTGCACCCCTCCCTCCCCTGGCACCCACCTCCCGTGGTCACCCCAACCCTGCACCCACCTCCCATGGTCACCCCCACCCTGCACCCACCTCCCATGGTCACCCCCATTCTGCACCCACCTCCCGTGGTCACCCCCATTCTGCACCCACCTCCCGTGGTCACCCCCACTCTGCACCCACATCCCGTGGTCACCCCCACCCTGCACCCACCTCCCGTGGTCACCCCCATTCTGCCCCCACCTCCCATGGTCACCCCAACCCTGCACCCACCTCCCATGGTCACCCCCATTCTGCACCCACCTCCCGTGGTCACCCCAAACCTGCACCCACCTCCCATGGTCACCCCCATTCTGCCCCCACCTCCCATGGTCACCCCCACCCTGCACCCACCTCCCATGGTCACCCCCATTCTGCACCCACCTCCCGTGGTCACCCCAAACCTGCACCCACCTCCCATGGTCACCCCCATTCTGCCCCCACCTCCCATGGTCACCCCAACCCTGCACCCACCTCCCGTGGTCACCCCAACCCTGCACCCACCTCCCGTGGTCACCCCAACCCTGCACCCACCTCCCATGGTCACCCCATTCTGCACCCACCTCCCGTGGTCACCCCAACCCTGCACCCACCTCCCATGGTCACCCCAACCCTGCACCCACCTCCCTTGGTCACCCCATTCTGCACCCACCTCCCATGGTCACCCCATTCTGCACCCACCTCCCATGGTCACCCCAACCCTGCACCCACCTCCCATGGTCACCCCATTCTGCACCCACCTCCCGTGGTCACCCCCGTTCTGCACCCACTTTACGTGGTCCCTCCCCACCCTGCCCCTGCCATACAGCCCCCACCACCCACCCTGACCCCCACACACCTTGGAGAGGCGAAAATCCACCAAAATCTTGCTCTCCATCTCCACCAGGTTCACCTTGAAGATGAGTTTGTTGTTCCTCCTGTCTGTGGTCGAGATGGTGACCTGCAAAGGGGGAGAATGTCTCGAATTATTCCCTGCTGGCCCAGCACAGGGGTGCCAGCCCCAGTTCCATCCCTGACCCCCACCTGGTTGGTGCAGCTCATCTTCCAGCCGTAGCCCATCTTCTCACACACCTCCTTCAGCGCGCGGTAGGAGCCGTCGGCGTCCAGCTTGGTGAAGAACCGCGTCATCCGCTTCACCAGCCGCTGCCACGGGCTCTGCCGCCCCAAAAAACATTCCAGGGGTCAGCAACCCCGCCAAAAGGCCCCAAATCCCACCAGGTTGCAGCCCCAGCTCTGACACAGCCTGGCTTTCGGTGAGGAAATGTTGGGAAGCTGCACCCCCTGATGGCACAAGGCAACAAGCGCATCCCAAAGAGCAGAAACGCTGCACAAGCATGTCCCAAAGAGCAGAGGCACATCCCAAAGAGCAGAAATACTGTACAGCCACATCCCAAAGAGCAGAGGCACATCCTAAAGAGCAGAAATACTGCACAGCCACATCCCAAAGAGGAGAAATGCTGCACAAGCATGTCCCAAAGAGCACAGCCACATCCCAAAGAGCAGAAATCCTGCATAGCCACATCCCAAAGAGCACAGCCACATCCCAAAGAGCAGAAATCCTGCATAGCCACATCCCAAAGAGCAGAAACCCTGCATAGCCACATCCCAAAGAGCACAGCCATATCCCAAAGAGCAGAAATCCTGCACAGCCATATCCCAAACAGCAGAAATACTGCACAGCCACATCCCAAAGAGCAGAAATTCTGCACAGCCACATCCCAAAGAGCAGAAATTCTGCACAGCCACATCCCAAACAGCACAAAGTCAGCCCCTGGTCAGTCAGCATCATAAAATGCTCTTTAAAGACACACATAGGATGCACAGTTGTGCCCCAATGGTATAAGAAGTGCAATGATGGGCCCCAATATTGTAAACTGGATCTGAAGTTGCCTCCCAAATGCTGCAGAGCTGTAGCCTGCAACTGGAAAGCTGCGCTTTATTACTCAAAATACTGCAAAATTGTGCCCCAAATACCATCAGGCTGCACCTCGAGATGACAAACCTTGCCCAGCAGCACCTCAACGCTGCCAAGCTGCTCCCTGATACTGTAAATCATATTCAAAGTTGCTCCCCAAACACCACAGAGCACAAAGTGCACCCTGATGCCATAAATGATGCACATTTGCAACCTAAATCTTGGGAGGTGGCACCCCGAGATGATAAAACTCACAGCTGCATCCCAGCCTTGTCAAGCTGCTCCCTGACATTGCTTATACAGCAAAGTTGCTCTTTAATGTGGTATTTATGATGCAAAGTTGCACCCCAATATTTTACACAGCACAATGTTGCACCCCAGTGCTGTAAATCAGATCTGAAACTGCCCCTCAAATCCCTGGCAAAGTGACAAAGTGACACTAAAAGTACTGCAAATTTGCAGCCCAAATCCTTCACCTGACACCCTCAGGTGGTAAATATTCAACAGCCACAGCCCCAACAGTTGCTCCCTGATATTATAAACACAACAAAAGTTGCTTCTTAATCTTACATATCTAAGGCAAAGCTGCACCCCAGTAGTATAAAAGGTGCAGCACTGGATCCTGATGTAAACTGGATGAGATCTGCCCCCCAAATGCTGCAGAGCTGCACCCCAAGGTGATGAACCTCCCCCAGGCACACCCCACACATTGCCAAGCTGCTCCCTGATGTTATAAATATGGCAAAGCTGCTCCTCATGGATGCAAAGTTCCACCCCAGTTTATACAATGCAATGTTGGACCCCAGTGTTGTAAATCGGTTGTGAAGCTGCCCCCAAACACACCAAGACCATGGCAAAGTGTCATCCTGATACTGAAAATACTGAAAAGCTGTGCCCCAAATCCTGCAAATCAGATGCAAATCCTGCAAATCAAAACTTCACCCCAAGGCCATGGCAAAGTGTCACCCTGATAGTGAAAATATTGAAAAGCTGTGCCCAAAATCCTGCAAACTTGCATCCCAAGGCCATGGCAAAGTGTCACCCTGATAGTGAAAATACTGAAAAGCTGTGCCCCAACTCCTGCAAACTTGCAGCCCAGGCCATGGCAAAGTGTTACCCTGATACTGAAAATACTGAAAAGCTGTGCCCCATGTCCTGCAAACTTGCACCCCAAGGCCATGGCAGTGTCAGCCTGATACTGAAAATACTGAAAAACTGTGCCCCAAATCCTGCAAACTTGCACCCCAAGGCCATGGCAAAGTGTCACCCTGATAGTAAAAATACTGAAAAGCTGTGCCCCAACTCCTGCAAACTTGCACCCCAGGCAATAGCAGTGTCACCCTGATACTGAAAATACTGAAAAACTGTGTCCAAATCCTGCAGACTTGCACCTCAAGGCATGGCAAAGTGTCACCCCGATAGTGAAAATATCGAAAAGCTGTGCCCCAAATCCTGCAAGCTCGCACCTGAGATGATAAACAACAAAAAGTTACAGCTCCAGTGTTCCCCAGCAGGCAAAGCTGCACCCCAAGCAGCAGAGAGCAGCCCCAAAGCATTGCAGGTGCACGCTGACACCGCTGCCGATGCCGAGCCGCGCCCCAAACGCCGCGAGGTGAAATCCCAAGAGGATCAGCCTCGCCCAGCCGCGTCCCAAGCACGGCGAGGCAGCACCCCGGTGTTGCAGGTGGTGCCAGGTGCCCCCTGACCTGGGAGGAGCCTGGGGTGCCCAGGAGTTGGCTGTTGACCAGCATGTGCTCGGGGCAGGCGGGCTGCGAGAAGCTGAAGCCCTGCACCAGCTGGTCGATGCTTCCCGTGCCACTCTCCCAGGGCATCCCGCCCGTGCCGGGCTCCGGCTGAGACGTGGAATAGCTTGCCTTGTCCTCACTGCAAGGCAAGGGGGGACACAAGGGTTAGGAGAGCTGGAGAGAGCCCGATGTGGGAACTGCATGGGATTCTGCAGGATCACAGGGGTTGTGCGGGGTTTTCACCCCACCACCTCCTGGAGAAAATGCCGGGAAGGCCCCGAGGCGTGCGAGGAATTGCGAACCCGTGTGGAGGGAAGCAGAGGCTCACCCCAGTGCTCCCTTCACGGGTGAGAAGTCTGTATCGGAGCGGATGTGCTTGGAGAAGCCTCCAGGGGAGTCGCTGACTCCCCCCGAGGAGAGCCGAGCCCGCTTGACATCTGCAAAGGGACAGGACACCGGGTGACCCCAAACCCGGGGGCAGCAGCGCGCCCCCCCGCAGTCCCTTACCCTTCTTGAGGGGTCTGCTGTACCACCGGTCCTTCTGGATGTCAGCAATGGTGATCCTGGCCGTGGGGCTCTCCGTGAGGATCTTGTGCAGCAGTGCTGGGGGAGACGAGGGGGTGGAACACAATATGGTGTGTGATATGTGTGTGTTTGTGTGTATGTATAGCTATATATTTGTGTGTGTATATATATATAAATGTGTGCACATATTTAGGGAGCTGCTGGGTGCTTACCCAAGGGAGCGGAATCAATCTTCTTCCAAGGTGGGAGGTAGGTTTTCTTCTCCTTCCAGTCACTGTATTCCTGGCAGCTGTCGCTGGGCTGGTCCCAAGGCAGCTCTGCCAGGAGACCCCACTGCTGTCACCCCCAGTGCCACAATCCCCCGGGCACACATGTGGCACTGTGGGGACGTGGTGTGCCAGGTGACCCTGCCACAGGTCCTGTGTGCTCCCCATGCATCCCAAACCTCCCTGTGCATCCCATGGTTTCTCACACACATCCCATACCTCTCTGTGCATCCCAAACTCCTCCTATGCATCCCATACACTCCCCACTACACATCACATACATTCCCCTTCTGCAGCCCTCTATTCCCTCCATGCATCCCTATGGATTTTCCAGACATCCCCCTCCATGCATTTCCCATCTCCCTTATGGATCCCACACACTCCATCTCTGTTTCACACACCCCTCCCATCTCATGTGCACCCCTGCCCCATCCCTTACATCCCTGGGGCACTCCAGGCTGTTCCCCTCACACACTTCACCCGTGCACCCCTTCTGCATTCCACACATACATCCCTGCACATTCCACAAACACTCCCCCACGTCCTCTGCACCACCCCTGCATTTCCCCCACACCCCCTGAACACGTCACAGGCATTCCATCCATTCCTAGAGACATTCCAGTGTTCCCACCTCTGCTGGCCATTTATCACCTCCTGTGAATTCCATCCATCCATCCATCCATCCATCCATCCCAACATTCCCACCTCTGGCCATCAGCTCATCATCCTCTGTGAATTCTGTACATCCCAACATTCCCACCTCCAGCCAACATGGCTGTCAGCACACCACCCTCTGTGAATTTCATCCATCCATCCATCCATCCTAACATTCCCACCTCTGGCCATCAGCACATCACCCTCTGTGAACTCCATCTATTCCCACCTCCGTCCAGCATGGCCATCAGCACATCACCCTTTGTGAATTCTGTACATCCCAGCATTCCCACCTCTGGCCAGCATGGCCACCAGCACCAGGTCACCCTCTGTGAATTCCATCCATCCATCATCCATCCATCCATCCCTCCCTGCCCACCTCCGGCCAGAATGGCCATCAGCACATCATCCTCTGTGAATTCCATCCATCCCTCCATCCCTCCATCCCTCCATCTCTCATCCATCCATCCATCCATCCATCCATCCATCCATCCACCCATCCATCTCTCATCCATTCCCCATCCATCCATCCATCCATCCCCTCCATCCATCCCTCCCTGCCCACCTCCGGCCAGCATGGCCATCAGCACATCACCCTCTGTGAATTCCATCCATCCATCCATCCATCCATCCATCCATCCATCTCTCATCCATCCATCCATCCATCCATCCATCTCTCATCCATCCATCCACCCATCCATCTCTCATCCATTCCCCATCCATCCATCCATCCATCCATCCATCCATCCCTCCATCCATGCCCACCTCCAGCCAGCATGGCCACCAGCACCAGGTCACCCTCTGTGAATTCCATCCATCCATCATCCATCCATCCATCCCTCCCTGCCCACCTCCGGCCAGCATGGCCATCAGCACATCATCCTCTGTGAATTCCATCCATCCCTCCATCCATCCATCCATTTCTCATCCATCCATCCATCCATCCATCCATCCATCTCTCCATTTCTCATCCATCCATCCATCTCTCCATTTCTCATCCATCCATCCATCCATCCATCCATCCCTCCATTTCTCATCCATCTATCCATCCATCCATCCATCCATCCATCCCTCCATTTCTCATCCATCCCTCCCTCCATCCCTCCCTCCCTGCCCACCTCCGGCCAGCATGGCTGTCAGCACCACGCCGCAGGCCCAGACGTCGACGGGCTCGGCGCGGAACTCGGGGCGCCTCAGCAGCTCGGGGGCCACGTAGGGCAGGGTCCCGCACATCTTGTTCAGCAGCCGCTCCCGCCCGTTGTGCCGGAACACCGTGGCCAGCCCGAAATCCGAGATCTTCAGGTTGTCTGGGCCCAAACAGAAGCAAAGCCGAGTTAAAACTTCAAATCAAAACTCAAAATTAACCCGCTTCCCCAACAAAATTAATTCAAAATGCAAGTTCAAATTGAAATAAAAATCAAAACGTTAAGTAAAAATTTTATTTATAAATTCAAACTCAAAATTTGTTTAAAAATTTGAATTGAAAACAGGCTTAAAATGAAAATTCAAGTTAAGATTTTAAACTACTAAGTCTAAAAGTTGAACTTAAAAAATTTGAATTATAATACAAATAGCATTAAAAGAAGAAATTCAAACTAGAATTTAAACGTAAGATTCTACAGTTCTAGGTTTAAAAGTTGAACTTAGTATTTGAATTAAAATACCAATAAAATCAAAAGAAATTCGAACTAGAATTTAATCTTAAGATTCTAAAGTTCTAGATTTAAAAGTTGACCTGAAAATTTGAATTAAAATACAAATAAAATTAAAAGAAGAAATTCAAATCAGAACGCAAAAACAAATAAAAGCTTAAATAAAGAAATTAAGCTAAAAACGTAAAAATTTTAAATTAAAAATGTAAAGTAGATTTTAAATTCAGAACAAAATTAGACCCTTACATTAAAAAATCAAATGCAAAATATAAACATTCAAATAAAAGCTTTAAATTGAACACTCAAATGGAAAACCACAAATTAAGAAATGAAAACTTAATGGAGGCCGGAGAGGGACACGCCCGGCCCCACCTCGCTCGTCCAGCAGCAGGTTCTCCGGCTTCAGGTCCCGGTGGGTGATGCCGATGCTGTGCAGGTACACCTGAGGAGGAGGGGAGGGGTCAGTGCTGTGTGGGAGGGGAATCATGGCAAGGGTCAGGGGGCAGCATGGTGTGGGAATCATGGTAAGGGTTAGAGGGTCAGCATGGTGTGGGAATTATGGCAAGGGTCAGTGCCGTGTGGGAATCATGGTAATGGTCAGTGATGAGTGGGAGTCATAGCAATGATCAGTGCCATGTGGGAATTATGGCAAGGGTCAGCAATGTGTGGGAATCACGGCAAGAGTCAAGGGGTCAGCAATGTGTGGGAATCATGGCAAGGGTCAGCGCTGTGTGAGAATCATGGCAAGGATCAGCATGGTGTAGGAATCATGGCAAGGGTCAGGAGTCAGCATGATGTGGGAATCGTGGCAAGGGTCAGAGGGTCAGCAATGTGTAGGAATCACGGCAAGGGTCAGTGCTGTGTGAGAATCATGGCAAGGATCAGCACCATGTGGGAGTCATGGCAAGGGTTAGAGGGTCAGCATGGTGTAGGAATCATGGCAAGGGTCAGCACCACGTAGGAATCATGGCAAGGGTCAGTGCTATGTGAGAATCATGGCAAGGATCAGCCTGGTGTAGGAATCGTGGCAAGGATCAGCACCATGTGGGAGTCATGGCAAGGGTCAGGGGTCAGCGTGATGTGGGAATCATGGCAAGGGTCAGAGGGTCAGCATGGTGTAGGAATCATGGCAAGGGTCAGCATCATGTAGGAATCACGACAAGGGTCAGCAATGTGTGGGAATCATGGCAAGGGTCAGGGGGTCAGCATGGTGTAGGAATCATGGCAAGGGTCAGTGCTATGTGAGAATCATGGCAAGGATCAGCACCATGTGGGAATCATGACAAGGGTTAGAGGGTCAGCATGGTGTGGGAATCATGGCAAAGGTCAGCACCATGTGGGAATCACGGCAATGGTCAGGGAGTCAGTGCCATGTGGGAATCAAGGCAAGAGTCAGGGGTTCATTATGATGTGGGAATCACAGCAAGGATCAGCAAGGTGCAGGAATCATGGCAAGGATCAGAGGGTCAGCATGATGTATGAATCATGGTAAGGCTCAGTGCCTTGTGGGAATCATGGCAAGGGTCAGCACCGTGCAGGAATCACGGCAAGGGTCAGGGAGTCAGCGCCGTGCAGGAATCGCCACTGGCACCCGTGGCATTGCCTGGCACCCGCGGCACTGCCGCTGCTGAACACTCACCACGCCGGCAATCAGCTGCTGGAAGAACCGCTGCGCCTCCGGCTCTGGCATCCCAACATCTGGCTCTGCACGTGGGGAAGAAGAAGGGAAGAGCAGCCCTGAGCCGTGTGGGGGTGACAATTTAGGATGCCCGCTGCCCCTACATCCCCGGTGCCCCATGCGCACCGATGCGGTCGAAAAGCTCCCCGCCGCGGCAGTACTCCAGGAACAGGTACTGCGTGGTGCCCTCCCGCCGGTGTCCGTAGAACCGGACGACGTTCTCGTGGCTCAGCATCTTGTTGATGCAGATTTCCTTCTTGATGTTCTCCGGGCACTCGGCCGCGCGCTTCATGTCCACGATTTTCACGGCCACGGCCTCCTCGGTGCGGCGGTTCACGGCCAGCTGCACCCTGCGGTGGGCACGGAACAGGGAGTGGGCATGGGAGCGGGCATGGCAATGCTTCCCCTAGAGACAGGCAGCAGGCAGGGAATGGGAGATAATTCTGCCTCTGGAGATGGCAGCAGGCAGGGAATATTGGCACTGGGGGCAAGGAACGGGCAGGGAATGGGCAGCAAATGGTGCGGGCAGGAACAGGCGAACAGGCAGGGAATGCAGGCACGGGGAGGAGCACCATGGGCACACAGGGGTGCAAGGGGTGTGATGGGCGAGCAGCGGGCACACAGAGGACGTGCCACGACCGGAGAGTGGGCAAACAGCGGGCATGTGACGGGCGAGCAGCGCGGACTGGGCGAGCTGTGGGCACACACACGGCGTGTGATGGCCAAGAGGGGAGCAAACAGCGGGCACGCAGTGGCCACGCAGAACCACGCAGGGACAAGCAGCGGGTGTGCAAGTGGCACCCGGGGGGCAGAGGGGACAGCGGCCGCGCAAGGGGCAGGGCAGGGCCCGGGCCGCGCAAGGGGCAGGGCAGGGGCGTGCAAGGGGCGGACCCGGCCGGCAGCAACCCCGCGCCCCCCGGCCCCGCCGCACTCACTCCCCGTAGGCGCCTTCGCCCAGCGTCTGCACCAGGTCCCAGTCCTCCACGAAGGGCACCGCCATCCCCGGCCCCGGGCCCGCTCGGGGCCGCGATCCCGGTCCCGGTCCCGGCAGCGGCCCAGCCACGCCGCCCTTTCCCGCCACCGCCGCGAGCCCCGCCCCCCCCTGCGTGCGCACGCACAAAGCCCCGCCCACAGACCGCCAGCCCCCGCCCACACCCGGAATCCCGCGCCCATTGCAGGCCACGCCCCCAGCCCCGCCCCCGCCTCTACTTACATTCAAACCGGTTAATATCAGCTAAAACGGCTCCAACGCCCCTCTGACAGAATTCAGAGAGAAACCCACCAAATTGATTTTTATTTATTTGCATTCTTTACAATTCCTGCTCAATCAGCCCCGATGAGAGCCGCAATTCCTGATTTGGCGACGGCTCCGTGTGTATATAAAAATCACTGCCGGCAGGACGGGGCGGGCAGGGTGCTCCCGCCGCTGCCTGCGCTTACAAACGGTATAAAACAAACCCGAAAGAGCCCCCTCGAACCCCCAGCAAACCCCCGAATCTCTGCTGCACAGGCAAGGCTGGGTCAGTGCGGTGTCTGGCACAGCCAGCGCCGGCTCCTCTACGTCCTCGACAACCCGCGGTTGTCCAAATCTTTCACCTGGGCAGTAAAGAGGGTTCATTAGGTACAATTCCATGGTTTTTTTCCCAAACTGAGCAGGTCTGGGCTCGCTCTGGTGCCATACCTTGTATATTCGGACCAGCCAGTGCTCTGTGGTGTACGCCTCCTCCAGCACGTCCAGCTCAAAGTCCTTGTTGCCGATTTCAGCGTTCCTCACCCGGTCGTAGCCTGGCGGTCGCTCTGGGAGAGAGGAAAGCACAGGCAGCGCTGCTGCATCCCACCCAGGGATGTCAGGGCACAGAGGGGCCCCCCAGAAGCTGTGCCACGCCCCGGGGGTGACTCAGGGACTCACTGGCCTCAGTGTAGACCTGGCCGAAGCGGTAGTAGCACATCTTGTACATGAGGCAGTTGAGCAGCACCGGGGAGCCCTCGCGGTCCACCCGGAACTCCCCGGTGGGGGTGTAATAGTCGTGCTCCTTGATGTGCCTGCCCGTGTCCGTGCTGCCCCCGATCCGCACCATCCACAGGAACTTGTTGATGTCTGCAAGGCAGAGAGGTGGGGGGCAAAGAATGAAGGCTTGAGCTGATTTGAGGGGCCAAGAGCAAGGGGTTGCATTGGGGTGAAAGAACAAGAGGTTGGGATGAGGGAAAAGAATGAGGAGCCAAGTTGAGCTGGGGAGCCAGGAGGGAGGGTTGAGGTGATGTGGGGGGCCAAAAGCAAGGTTGAGATGAGGAAGCATTCTGGCCCTGTTTTCACTCCACAGCCCCAGCTGAAGGTGGATTCTGCACCAGCACCCCGAGCTGGGTCTGACCCAGCTCACAGCAGGATCTTACCATCCGATGAGTACCCGGTGAGGCCACCAAAGATCACCAGCACGTAGCTGACGTCCAGCTCCCTCATGATCTCGTAGGCTTTCTCCTCCGTCGATGCCATGGCCTGCGGTGACACCAGCACAGATGTGGCGTCAGCCAGTGCTGATGTGGCGCCCAGAAAGGCTGGCAAAGGCAGGGGGGGAGGGAGGGACCCACCTGGCCGACACGGGAGATGTGTGTGTTGTTCCAGGTGTTGTTGTCCACCAGGATGGTCCGGTTGGCCATGGCAGTGATCTGGTACCCGTAATCCCACCAGGACATCACCTTGGCATCCTGCACCAAACATGGCCGGGCATCAGCGCCTCAGTGGGCAATGTGGGGTGCCCAAGGCCCCAATACCCCATACTGTCACAGATACATTTTCTGAAAAATCCTTTCCTTAGTATTTTTCCTCCTGAGAAGCTGAGAAGCCTCAGGAACAAAATGTAAACAATGGTTATCTGCTGCTGTGGAATGCAACAGATGCATCTGTGATTGGTCCATGTTGGTTATTTCTAATTAATGGCCAATCACAGTCAGCTGGCTCAGACTCTGTCTGAGACACAAGCCTTTGTTATCTTCCTTCTTTTTCTATTCTTAGCCAGCCTTCTGATGAAATCCTTTCTTCTACTCTTTTAGTATAGCTTCAATATAATATATATCATAAAATACTAAATCAAGCCTTCTGAAACATGGAGTCAGATCCTCATCTCTCCCCCGATCCCCAGACCCCTGTGACCAGGGTCACACCCGCACCTCCGGCGTGTTGTGCCGCAGCCAGTAATACGCCTCTCGGAAGTCATCGAAGATGATCCTGCTGCCATCACCACCACGGGCAGAGAGGACGATGGAGGGGGAGGAATAGGCCTCACTGGTCACCCAGGTGGAGTGGAAGGTGTAGGTGATCAGGAAGAAGGCCATGACCAGGATCATGCCACTGGCAACCTGTGGGAACAACCCAGGGTCTCAGCACTGGAGGGGCGGGGCCGTCAGCCTCCTGCTCTCAGCCCATCAACACCAGGTGTGCTCCTGAGCCAGCCTGGTGCTCACCTCATTTTTAATGGGGTAGGTGGAGTCCTGCTGCTTTTTGCTCTTCTTGTCTGGCCGGCTGATATCCAGGTTCTTCATGTAGGTGGACAACACCTGAGAGACCCCGATGCCAGACAGGATGCACATCACCGGAGCCAGCACCAGCATGAGACGCACCTGTGGCAACAGCAGAGCTGCTGGAGAAGGAATCCAGCAGAAATCCACGGGAAGAGGGAATTGGATGCCATTCCTAATCCAGCACCTCAAATTCAGTGGATATTTGGGATAAACCTGTGGCTGGTTTTTTAGTGGAGAGCTGCCACCATCCCGGGCACCCCTGAGGGAAATTCCCTGAATGCTCAAAATTGGCCCACATGGGAAACTGAGGTCACTTCAGCAATCTTAGGTGGAAGCAAGGACTGGTAGCTGCCTCCACAGCAGAACTCAACCACATTTAGTGTTCAGGGTGCCACAGGAAGAGTGGAAATGGGCTCATCAATGACTGTTTGTCAGCGCTCCCTGCCTCAAAACCCAGAGAATTTGTCTGAGATTGCACTGGGTGCTCTGGGAGATCAGGAACCCTGACCAGGCAGCACTAGCCCCAGGGACAGTCACACCCAAACCACTCAGTTTGGCAACTTCACCTTCCCTCACTGCAAAGGGACAAAACAAAACCACGCTTATGGAAGGGAGAAAAGCCCTCAGGGTGAAAGAACCATCACTAAGTTCAGAAAAACAAATTAAATTGTTATGAGCACTCAGAGGCAGTGCTGTGCCTGCAGCCCTCACCATGACAGCTGAGAAGTACATGCTGGTCACCCCGTACATGATGATGAAGATACGGGCATCTGAGAGGTTGCTGAAGCAGTAGTAGAGACCAACTGTGAGGGGGGAAAAAAAGGGGTCAGGTTCAGCTCAGAGATGAAATTAAACCAGGCACTGAGGGACACAGCAGGACACAGAAGGCTTGGCACAGCCAAGAGGCAGAAAAACCCTCTGGTGAGTAACTCAGGATGTAGCAACTCACCTGGGAACATGAAAACAAGGAGCTGCAGGTCGAAGTAGTAGGAGGACCAAGTGGTGGGCTGGTGCTCAGAGACAGAGGCGATGATGGGGATGTTGTTCTTGGCATAGGAAGGGTCCAGCAGGGAATAGAAACGCCCTGTCCATGGGGAGATTTTCCCTAGGAAAGTGGAGAAAACAAACCCTCTTTGGATCCAGCAGAGTAACAGGCAATGCTGACATGCACTCTTGCAGGGAAGCAGATGTGAGGCTGAATGAGTGATCCCAGACCTCATTTAGAATCTCTACTACTCAAATATGCCATTTTGGAAAGGAAATACAATGCAATTTCACTGTAAAATCTCCTCCCTGCTCAACCTCTACCTTTAGCATCTCTTTGCTACTACAGAGCAACAGCCAGTATCTGCAGCACCAGCCTGGTGTCCCCAGAGCCTCTGCCCCTCCTGTCTTACAGCTGCTGCTTAAACATTCCTTGCTAATGCACAAATTTGAGCAGGTCCCAACCTCCTCCTTCGAGGAGACTCACAGCACTGGCCTCACAGTAACACAGAGTTAGGATGGACAAATTCCATGCCTTGGGAAGCAAGGAAAGAGGGTGAAACACCCTTGTAATGGCCACAGCCTCAGGCTACCTGTCAGCATCAGCACAGCCCCGACGGAGAGGAGGACGAAGCCAACCAGGGAAATGACACTCCTGAAGAGGATCTCAAACTGCTGAGGGTTCAGCTTGCTCCGGAGGTAGTCCACAAAGGCATGGATCTGGCACAGGCCGAAGACTCCAAGGGCAGCCATGTGCTCTGAGGAGAGGACAGGCTGGGACGGGGGCAGAACATGGTCAGAAATAGATGAACAGGAGCCATTACTGCCTTTTTCCACAAATCACTGCTTGGCACAATCTCTGCCAGCCACAGGAAAATGTTCAAATGCTCCCTCCCTGTGACTGGCACAGCTGGCATGAGCTCTTTTCCTACATAATAAAAATTAACAATAAACTATCATGCATTAAATAAAGTAACTCCACCACTAAACGCTACTATACCAAACATACTAAAACTCCTATACAAACTAAAATCCAAACCAACAAAATAATACACCACTATAAACATTACCAATACATTTTTCTCCATTCCTCTGGCAGCAGAATGCAAACCTCAATTTGCTTTCACCTAAAACAGCATACAATACACCTACAACCATACCACCCTAACCCTAAACCCTAACCCCATGTAGAAAATTAACCAGATTCTCTTGAAAACATGAGCTGGGCAGGCCGGTTTCCTGCCATACCAAGACACACATGGCACAAGTGCTTCCTTCAGCAAAACCAAAGATATTTTTATAAAAGACAAATGGTGCTGGGAAGGTTATTAGGTGCTTTGAAGGTTATTAAACACTTTGAAAGTCATCCAGCACAGCTAAAGGCTCATTTTGTAAAGGTGGCAAGGAATCAGCATAATAGAAGCTGGAACAAGGAGTCAGCACCCACTCATAACCTCAGTGATGAAGGGCAAGAAGTAAAAGCAGGTTTTCTACAGAGGCCTATTGTTGTTTGTCACGTTTACTGCTTGGGAAACTTTTCTGCTTGCATGGGAAACTTTTCTGCAATGCTAACAGAACTCTAATCTAAGGCCTACATACTTTTTTTTTACCATTTCATAAAAATCGTCTAATCTTATGGATTCCAACAATCCAGCCCAGCCAAAGGCTCATTTTGCCACAGGTGGCAAGGAATCAGCATAATAGAAGCTGGAACAAGGAGTCAGCACCCACTCATAACCTCAGTGATGAAGGGCAAGAAGTAAAATCAGGTGTGAGCACGCTGCTGCTCTGTTAGAAGCCATCCCTGAGTCCAAACCCTACTGGTGCCCACCTGGAAGCCAACAAAGGAGATCTGCATGGAGAGGATGGTGCCCAGGCAGTAGACTGTGCAATAGGCCACGTAGATCCTGTGGGAGAAGCGCCCGGTGAGCATCAGCACCAGCACGTGCAGGGGGATGAGGTTGATGAGGAAGACGTAGCCACCCCACGAGGAGACCTGCAGGACACAAAGCAGACACACACCACAAGTTCCAGGAGTGAACAGCTGCAGAGCTGAGGTGAAACACAGAGGTTCAGCTTTCCTGCGATCACAGGCAGGATTTTCACACAGTAGCAATACCAGCCAGGATCCTCCAAAACTGACAGAAACATGGATTTTTCAACACTAAGAACACCTCATACAAAACTCACTAGTTTTGCAAGAAAGGACCCATTCCCTTCCCACCTCCAGAGGTTTTAGCTCTCTGGACACACTGCCAGAGAACAGCACACCATGGCTGCCTGGTGAGTGCATCCAGAGGGATCTCAGAGCCAGGGTTACCCCAGAGCTGGGAGAAGGGACACTCACCATGTAGAAATAGGCCAGGGCACACATGGCTGCCCAATAGATGGAGCCAGTTTTGACAGCCTTGATCCACATGTAGTAGGTCAAGAGCATGCAGAAAATGGCAATACCTGTGGAAGGAGGCAGAGCTGTTAATGCCATCCCTGGGGCACAGCAGAGAACTCAAACCATTAAAAACAGATCTGGAAATGCTTTTGCTGCTCCATCACACAAAGAGCCAGGCCTGAGAAAAGCACTTGATATCTGGTTTGTAGACTGAAACACTGTGGTGTTTGTGTCTAACAGCTCACGTGGCTTCTTCCAGCCACACCAGCTGGCAGAACTCCTCCACAGCCCCCAAAAGCCCAGCTGCAGCACAGGAGCCAGGATCCTCCTCTGGCCCAGGCTGTGGCAGTGACATTGCTGCCTTTGCCAGTCCCAATGTCGCTGCTGGAACAGGGATAAAAGCACAGAAGAACCACACAGTAGCTCCAGTTCCAGGCAGAGCTTGGGGAAGTGACAAAACCCTTTCTGACTGGCAAACAGGGATACTGGAGTAAACTTGCTGCCAGAGCTGGGAGACACTCCCTCTGCTCCACAGCAAGGCCAAAAACCATCTCTGATCTCTGATGGGTCAGGTTTGTTCAGCACAAACCCAGCAGAGATCACCAGGAAAGGACAGAGCCTCTCTTGTGCTCTGCAGCATCTTCCAGCACCCCTTTCCAGCACCAAATCCACTTCTTCCCAGTAGATATCCTATTCCTCCTATTCAACCTAGAAATTGCCCTACTCCTTCCACTACCATGAGCCACCCAGCTACAATCTCCCACTGCCACCCTAACTTGAACCTCCTTACTCATCTTCCTTCTTAACACTAGGACTAGGAAAGGAATGAATCCAAGGTGGGTTAGAATGAGCAGAATAACAGAAAGTTAGTCTAACACAGTTGATTTTGACTCAACAAATTATAGCTTCCACCCTATAACTTTCTTTATGTCCTGCCTCCATCTAAGCTTCTACTCAGCCTTCAGGTTTAGCCTTGCACCAAACTCACCTGATCTCAGCTTTCCCTGAGGATCACAAACTCACCTTCATTATCATAGGAGCCAGCAACAGAGCGAGAGATGTATCCAGGCACAACAGCAATCATGGCAGCAGCAAGGAGTCCTGCCCCTGCATCCTGGGAAAAACAGCCAGGGAAGAGACACCTGGGTTTAGGGATTTTATTGCTACAAAGAATAAAAATTATGTGTGGAAATAAAGTTCTCAAACAGATCTGCCACTTCCCAGAAGGCTGGGGTTTTGAGGAGTGTGGTGTTCACCTCCAAACCTCTGACCCAGCTGCTCTCCCAAATGGCAAACAGTCCCACTCCTCTGGAAAGCCAGCACACCCTGCTGGGCCCTGTACCTTGAGCTCTTTGGTGAGGTGGTAAGTCACAATGGTGGTGAAGGAGGAGAACAGGGGAGCCAGGAACACGCAGACGTTGCGGATGTCGATGGTGATGTGGAAGAAGTGCAGCACGTGGTAAATCGCTGCTGACGTGATCATCAGGCCTGGGGATGGAAATGAAACCTTATCAGGGTGCTCCAGAGCCACCAGGAGGGAGCTGCTGCCAAGCATGCATCCCCAAGCTGGCACTCAGGGATGCAGTCTTCACCTGATTTTCCCTCCCACCAGGTGCATTTCAGCTTGGCAAAGCTTTACCTGGGTAAATGGTTCCCCCGATGATCCTGCCCAGGGGGTACCACGCTCGGTCATCAAACCAGTTGTGGAATTTGTAGAAGCCCTCCTCAGCCAGGAAGCGGGTGGTGCGGTAGTTGAAGTACCTGTAAGGGTACAGGACAGGACAGGGTGTGACACCTGTGACAGTGACAGGTATCTGTGTCACAGCCCGCTGTGGGGGCTGCTCCGTGTGTTCCCTGGCCCAAACCTCAGCTGCAAAGGTTCATTCCTCCTCCCAGTGGGACTAATAGTGTGTTTACAAAGGTGACAGTGGCCCTTGGGATTGATTCAATCAGCAACAAGCTTGGGACACTGACACAAATCGTGCCAGGAGCTCTCTGTCCTGTTGTGCCAGGTCAGGAGTAACCACATCCCAGGAGAAAAGCAACAGCAGGTGATTCTTGGATCTGGGCTGCAGCAAGAGCCCTGGGTACCAAGGAAATTTGGGTGTGGAAGAGAAAAACCAAGCTGAACTGAAAGATGTCCTCCAAATCCCACATCCTCAATGGGGATTAACTTGAGCCTGGCACCAGCACCTGAATTCTGTGTGCTCCAGAACAGGAAAAACCCAACAGGCCCCCAGGAAATGAGGAAACAACACTTACGGGTCAAACTCATGGATGACACTTTCAAATCTCAGGACGGAGAAAAGCCTTGTGGAGAAAGCTGCAAACAGAGAAGGGGCAGAGTGAACACACAGAGCTCAGGAGTCACCCTCGGTTTTCCTGCACCAGGAGCCACCCCTGAGGGCACAGACTTACACAGGACAGCTGCCATGGACAGGATGAGGAGCTTGAGCAGCGTGTCCTGCTTCTCATAGGAGAGCCGGAGGAAGCCCAGCTTGGTCATTCTCACATCAAATGCAGGGCCTGAGGATCCCTGAACACCTAAACACAATTAGGAACATCAAAAGCCTTTAAAGCCTTCATGAGCCTTTGGATTTTAAATCCCCCCTCTGGCCCAGCCTTCACCCTGCCAGGTGCTTGTGCCTCCCCCCACAAACCTCTCACCTCCTGTCCTGATCTGAGCTGTCACCCCAAACCCTGGCTGGTTTTCCTTCCTTTACAGAGCCCAGAACTTCTCCGGGGCAGAGGACGCGCCTGCTTCTCTGTGCACAGAACAAAACCACAGGGTTAACTTGAGCAAAACCCCTGCCCTCCCTCTGGATGCTCTCTGAAGTGTAACCATCACCTGAAAGCAATATACAAAAATGGAATCCATGGAGAGTGCAGGAAATGGGTGCTTTTTGTTACACACAGGAGAGCTGAATGGCTCCTGGTTACTGCCAGTTTGGATCACTTATGTCAAATACATATATATATATATATATGTATGTTTGTTAATGCAGACCAGGGCAGTAAATTGGTTCTGCTCACACCAGGCTGTTTAATTCGTCTTCCCTGAAGGAAGGAAGAGCCACAGAAACCCTGGTGTTGCAAACCAAGGAAGTGACATTCTTACTAAAGAATCACAGCTTTAACATCTTTCTACCTTGAAACCACTCAGATTTCTTCAAATCGTTTCTTGCCCAATCAGTCAGGAAATCCCCTCCCAGTGCGCAGTCCCAGCACGGGTGGGTAAATGTGCAGCTCAGGTCTCTGAGCTAATACACCAGGCAGGACGCAGTGGGACAGGCTGAGATTTAAAACCCGAACACCCGGGGCCTGGAAAAGCCTGGCAGTGCCCAGCAGTGATTCCGGCTGGCGCACGCCGGGCACTGCCTGGTACAAACACCGGCGGTGGTAATTTCCTGGATGCCCCGCCATAACGGAGCGCAGTGCAGGCGCTGCGGGCACCAGCGGCTCTGCCCGGGGTGCCCCGATGCCCTCAGAGGGGACCCCTCACCCACAGGAACTGCCCTGGCACGGAGCGCTCCCCACCCCGCGCTCCAGCCCCTGAGCAGCCCCGGGGTCTCAGCCCTCACGCCTGGGACCCCTCAGCCCCCGCGCTCCCTCTCCCCACACGCCCCTCCAAGGCCCGGGCACGCCGTGACCCCTCACTCGGCACACCCCGCAGCCCGGGCACACCTACACCTACACCTGCACCTGCAGCCGCAGGGCCCGCAGCTCCCCCGGCCCCGCTCGGCTCCCGGTGCCGGTGCCGGTCCCGTCCCTCACCGCGGCCCCGCCGCCCCGTCCATCCGCCCCGCGCAGCCGCCCTGCTGCCGCCGCCGCCAGCCCGCGCCCCGCCCCCGCTCGCTTCCCATTGGTCGTCGCGCACGCCACTCCAAGCGCGGCCGCGCTCATTGGCCGAAGCGCCGAAAACTCAATCGGGCGCGGGGCGGCGCGTGAGGAGCACGGCGCCTTCCCATTGGTGGAGCAGGAGGTGGGCGGTGCCGGCGGGGAACGAGCCGTGACGTGTCCGTCCGGCTTGGCGGGGCCGCGGGGGGTCACGTGGGCGGAAGCGGAAGCGCGGGGGCCTGGCCACGTGGGCGGCGGAACCACCGTGGGCGCGGGGGGAGCCCGGCCTGGGAACCCCGCCCGCAGGAACGAGAGCGGCACAACAGAAGGGCTGAGAATCGTGGTCTCTCCGTTTAATGTTTCAGTGTGAAAATACTAGAGAAAAGTTGATAAACCGGCCCGAAATATCCAAAGGGGTCTGAACGTCACCGGTTCCTTCCCCGACCCGACAGAAACGGTACATGCACGGCAGGGGGACGCTGTGCTCGACGGCAGCGGGAGCTCCCGGAAATGCCCGCCCCCCTCCCACGACCTGAGTTAGGGGAGATGGAGGGAGCGGGAAGGGGGACGAGGGACACGGGGGAGACACGGGAGGGACACAACGGCAAAACGGGTGACGGGCTGGCGACCCACGGCCCGAGCGGGGACATGGCACGGGAAAGGCGTACAAAAGAGTCCACTATAAAACAAGCGCAGGGCACAACCCGGCTCCTGGAAACTCACAAAGGTGTTAAAAACCCAGATTTGTCCCCCAAATAAATTTCCAGGGGGAGACGCAGAGCTGACAGTGACACCTGGTCAGGCTGGGTCCTGCCCGACCCTGGAGATCGGGGGCGCAGAGGAGCCCGTGGGGTCCCCCCTCCCCGGGCTCTGGGGGCAGCTCAGTGCCCCGGAGCAGCCGCGTGTTTGGCAGGAGAGGGCGAGGAGGAGGAGGAGGAGGGGGAGGAGGAAGCACCGCTCAGGGCGGACTGAAGGTAAACGGTCTTGTGGAAGAGTCTGTTGCTGAGGAAAACCACCAGGGAGAAGAGACGGAGCTGGAAGTGGCTGAAAGGGAAGAGAGTCCGTCAGCTCTGGGTGCCAAACACCCCTGCAGGGTTTTGGGGAGCACTGGGGTGCTGCACAGGGGTCAGTGGGTGGCTGGAAATGAAGGACACTCACTAGGTTTTGCCGGGGGTCCTGGCTTCGTTGGCGCTGATGATGAAGAGAGGGAAAAGGATGGAGAAGAGGCAACCGCTGCAAGGGGAAAATACAATAAAATAAAATGAAATAAGGGGAACTCAGTGGGTGTCAGGAGGAGGAGGAGGAGGGGCCAGAGTGGCTCTCCCACCTGATGATGTAGGAGGACTGCATGGCCGTGAGAAATGCCAGGGGCAAGCCAAAGCCGAAGTAGTAGGGCCAGTTCCTCTCGATGTTGGACAACCGTTGGTGCATTTCGATTCCTGCAAGAGGAGAATCCCGTGGAAATGAACCCGTGGGGAGGAGACACCCTCACTGCAGCTTCACTGAACCATTTAGGCTGGAAAGGACCTCCAATCACCTCCTTTGACCAGTCCTCACCTTATCAACAGACCAGAGCACTGAGTGCCACATCTGATCACCTCCTGAACAACTCCAGGGATGGGACTGCACCACCTCCCTGGGCAGCCCCTTCCAATGCCTGACCACCCTTTCAGTGAGGAAATTCATCCTGATGTCCAACCTGAACCTCCCCAGCACAGCCTGAAGCCATGTCCTCTCATCCTGTCACTTGTTCTGTGGGACCAGAGCCCAACCCCTCTGCTGTCCCCTCCTGTCAGGGAGATGTGGAGAATCAGAGTATCCCCCCTGAGCCTCCTTTTCTTCAGGCTGAGCGCTTCCAGACTCTTCACCAGCTCTGTACTCATCTCTGGACATGCTCCAGCCCCTCAATGTCCCTTTTGTCCTGATGGCTCCAGAACTGGACACAGCACTTGAGGCCTCACCAGTGCCCACCACAGGGCACAGGCAACGCCCTGGGGCTGTGCCCACTCTGGGGCTGGTACAGGCCAGGTACCACTGGCCTTCTTACCACCTGAGCACTCTGCTGGCCCACATTTACCCTTCATCCCATATAAAAACTGAGGGAAGCTCAGCCTGACACCCCAATTGGATGCTCCTTCAGCAGAGAAATGCTCAGTCCAGGCAAACTCCCCTTTTTTGGGGGGGAAAGGAGGAGGAGCCTCGCTCACCTTTGTTGAACCAGCGGTACTCGAAGCAGTAGAGCGAGTAGAGCAGCGACATGTGCAGGAGGCTGATCAGCTGCCCAATGAGGTCGATGGGGAACAGGCTCACGATCATTCCCTGGCACAGAAAAGGAGAGAGGGATGCTCAGATTTGGGGGAGGGCAGCCCTTGAGCTGTGGGGTGGTCGCTGTCTCACCTGGATGAGGAAAAGTGCCTGCAGCAGGAGGTTGAACAACATGTCAGCGATGATTTTGCTGACGCTGGGGAAGGGGTGAGGCTTCCTGCCCGACACCTCGAACGCCAGGTCTGCGATGTCCTGCCAGCACAGACGGGGGCTTCAGGCCAATGAACTCCAGAGCAATGGGGGCTCCAGGGAAATGAAACCCAGGGGGATGCTCCTCAGCTCACCAGGAATATGCCCAGAGGGCTTCTGCCCACCAGGGATATGCCCAGAGCCTGTTTTGGGGCAGGATTTCATCTTGTGCTCCCACACCACCTGAGCAAGCCCCACCCAGTGAGGAAACGCCCCCTGTTTGCTCAAGGCAGGGCCCAGGTTCCTGTCACCCACCTGAAACCAGATGGCATTGACCACCTTACTGAGCACAAAGAGGGGCAGCACCCAGAGAGCGCTGAAAATGGAGGTGAGGATGAATTCCAGCCAGGACCAGACATCACCATGTAAGGAAGGGTCACCTTTGGAAGAGAGACAAAGAGACACATATGAGGAACTGGTGTAGGAACCTCCAAATGCTTCCTGGCACAGCCATCAGGGAGTTTCTCCTGACTCTAGTTCTCTAATGTCTTTAAAAGCACATTTCCACCCAGTTGATTTTTATTTAAATGCAAAAACACACAGACAAATGTGTTTGAAATGGCAAGACCCCCAGGAGCACAGCAGGGTGATCCACCCCTGATTTTCTACTGGACGATTAATGATGGGATTGGTGGGTACTGGGAAGAAGAGGAACACAACACAAGGAGACAGAGGTGTGAGGAACAGCTCAATGGGACAAAGACCCTGAACTCATCCATCCCATTGGCTGCTGAGCAGCCAAGAGCCCCCAGGGGAAAGGCACCCACCGATGATCTGTGCTGTGACCGACTGAAGGACGGGGATGAACACTCGGTAGAACAAGAAGAGACTCAGCTGCAGGGAAAAACAAACAAGGGCCCTCAGTGAGGCACTGCACGGGCATTTTGTGCTCCTGTGGTGGCTACAGATCCAAGGCACATGTGCCTCTCCTCCCTCAGCAACCCACAAATACAGAGGAGCAAGGATTTCTGTTTAAATGCAGCCACAATCTACAGCTGAACACTTTGACATTTCCATGCCCATCCCTGTAGCCATGATATTTTCTGAAAAATCCTTTCCTTTGGATTTTTTCTCCTGAGAAGCTGAGAAGCCTCAGGAACAAAATGCAAACAATGGTTATCTGCTGCTGTGGAATGCAACAGGTGCATCTGTGATTGGTCTCATGGGGTTGTTTCTAATTAATGGCCAATCACAGTCCAGCTGGCTCAGACTCTGTCCAAGACACAAACCTTTGTTATCATTCCTTCTTTTTCTATTCTTAGCCAGCCTTCTGATGAAATCCCATCTTCTTTTAGTATAGTTTTAATATAATATATATCATAGAATAATAAATCAAACCTTCTGAAACATAAAGTCAACATTCTCATCTCTTCCCCCATCGTAAGACCCCTGTGAACACCATCACACATCCCTCATACTCTGCACCAGTGTAATGAGAAAATGAAGCCATTTATTTGGTTATTTGATTTATAAAGTGTTGGCTCCATTAAGGATCAGCCCTATGAACCAGGCATAGCAAGTCAGAGCTGAGGAAATGTCTTTAAGATGTCAATATCCAATTGGCAAAACATTATCCCAGGCTATAGCAAAGCAAGAATTGAATGTTCAAGAGGAGAGAAGTTTCAAAGACTTGGAAAAGCAGCTTGGGTTTCATATGTGGATCTCTTGAGTAAGTCTGTGGTTCTGTATCCCATAGTGAATCCCTTAAAATCCAGCATTGGGATGGGAATGTGGTGGTTCCCAAAAATTCCTGCTGCCACCACTCACAGCCTAGGAGGGCTGGAGCAGCACAGGGTTTTCACAGGGGTTTTAAAATAAAAACTGTAATAAATAAGAATCTCCACATACCCAGAAGACACCTCCATTCCAGGCACAACACTGAAAGATGCGGCTCACTATCCGGGGTTCACTGTGGGAGAGAGGTGTGTTAATGTCCCAGCACCTGGACAAATGCTCCCTCACA